GTTATAATAAACGTTGCTCGCGCAGTTATGAGTTTGTCGGATTTATATGTATCAAAAGATGACTTGTTTCATTTGAATATTCCGGGCGGCGGAACTGATTCGTATTCATTGATTAACGCTTATCTTTTGAAGCTTATCTTTTGAAACAGATAATTTGAAGTGATAATTTTTGTAAACGATATTACGGGTATTACCTTAACATGGATGGAAGGGTTGCGTACTTCGAGGGGCTTTCTCTAATGATCTAATACGAGTATCTTCAACATAAATTCTCTTAGAATGGAGCTCTTCTGCTTTGAAATTTCCATCGATTTAAATGTAGTTTGCATTTTGTAATACATATAGTTAGTCTATTGTATCAATCATTTATTGTAAACTGTGTGTGTGTGTGTGTGTGTGTGTGTGTGTGTGTGTGTGTGTGTGTGTGTGTTGTGTGTGTGTGTGTGTGTGTGTGTGTGTGTGTGTGTGTGTGTGTGTGTGTGTGTGTGTGTGTGTGTGTGTGTGTGTGTGTGTGTACGCATTATATGTTCTGTATGTACATATCGTTGTAATATACATTTATTTATCTTTATCTGTGGACGTTTTATCTAAATTCAGTAACATAATATTGCTTAGAAAATATTTCAACTTTGTTGAGAAATATTACATATTTAATAACAAATTCTTTGAAAATATTAATTATGTATCTTTATCTCGATAATTATTTAGCTCTTTTAATATCTATTCTAAGAAAGCATTGTAAGGTCGAGTTAGATTGCGCTTTATCAGCAATAATCACGTATTACAAGAAACAAATATGCTTTGCATAAAAATAATATATAAACTTATGATATAATATCAAACTCAAACGGGATTCCCGTTTTTCGTCATCTTTTTGACATTATTCATACAATAATCTGACTAATTATCGACAAAATAGTGATAAATAATAAAATAATGATTCGTTACCTGCTAGCTAAGACGAAAAATTATTTTGCGTTAAAAAAGTTTTCGCTATCTTATCTAAATGTAATGCTCGTGACTTGTGAAAAAAGAAACTCTATGTATCGTCCTATGCTTTATTTATACAACGAGAAAATGGACAAGATTATTATAAATAAAGCAGCAATTTCTTGCTGCATTTAAAATATTTGATATTTTAAAAAGTATTCTCAATGCTGACGAGTCAGTCGCTTATATTCCAAAGTTAACACGAGCAACTACGACTTGAATGCCCGTGAAGTTAATAAACGCTTTAGTAGCGGAAGTAAATCGCATTCTGTAGCCATCCCGTTACGTCAATCTTCAGCTCACGTTCGCGGGACAAATTGTTTTGCGGATTTCGGTTATTACAGATCACCTTATATGGACGCGGGAACGTGAGAATGCAAAAAGAGATGCGCCGCCTTCCGCTGATATTCTCTTTCCATTTCAGTAGTATCGAATGCACAAGTGCTTTTTGCCCTTTGCGCCAGCATTCTATCGAGTGCATATTGCGCGCCTCGTGCATTCCATTGATTCTCCGACAAAGCGCTCTTGTTCTTTAATTCGGTTGACAGGAAACAACAGGAAAGGAAACTGAATCATCCGGTAGCATTGTCCTTTTGTTCGCCCATAGTGGCTGAATAGAAATAGTCGGGATTTTTTTCCTGTCATCGGCGAAGCCTCGACACATCATGAGCCGAATTAACCTTTTTAGTATATCCACAGCAGACACGTTCGATGCTTTTAAGCGTCATTCGCGTATCACATATTTACCGTTATACATTCGACTCGAGTGTGTCGTCGTTTCAAGCTTTTCCGGCAACGTCAATTTACATATAGAGAGACGTTCAAGAAACGTGACGAATATATTTGCGAATATATTTGCGTACGTTTCGTTCACTTGGGAAGAATTTAAAATCTCGAAAATCAAATTTCCTTATCTAAATTCAATCTGAAGAAATGTGTGCTCTCACACTTGTTCACATTACTTACAACTGATAATCAGAAAAAAATAATCAAAAATAGACACCTCAATCAATTTACAGATAAAAAAAAGAACGGAGCGACCATGGGGGATATTTAAACAGCTTTTATCCTGTGCCAATAATACAAAATGCGTTACCGATTTTGACTGTATACATATTGTTGAAAATTAATACGGAACAATATAAATACCCGAGAATTTACATTTAATTGGTGAAAATATAAACGTATAAAGAGTGCGTGCGTATGTCAGATCCAGTTTAACAAAGTGCAACATAATACCAATTATTTCTATATTATTAAATATCATGCTCATTTATATTGCATTTATATTGTCCATGTACACATATTTTCTGTAACATTTATGGAGTTTTACACAGCCACATTACTTTTGTCGATAAATTGTAATAGTTGACCAATTGTTCCGTAATTAAGTGATGTTTAGCAATGTGGATCGATCATTCGATAACAGATGCGATTAATGCTAAGAAGTGAAATATGCATATCAAATCATCACGTGTTTACTTCGTAACACTTTTTATGATGCCTATATAAAAAACAAAAATCGTTACAATTCTTGTCGATTAATAAAACTGTTTCATTATCGACACGATTCTGATATTCGTTAATATATATCGTTAATATTAAATTCATATATATATATATATATATTGCTCGAAAAAAAGAATTGATGTTTTATTTGTTGCATAACATTCTTTATGTAATTATAATTATATATTTATAAAATATATAATAACATACATCGATCTTTTTACAAACGCATTACCTCGCTGTTTAATTAATGTATATTTAATTATGCATCTAAAACAACTAAACATAGCGTTCACAGTAGAAACTATAGCATATAATAATAGATATTAAATTTCAAGCACATCCGATTATACCCGCAGATATATTTACAATAATCCCTTCAAATAATAATGGGCGCGGTTGTCTAATTCATTTTAACTATTATCAAAGAATTAATGTTTATATGTAACTACAGTTTCAGTACGCAAACGATAATCCATCAACACTTTTCCTTCTCTTTTACTTATTTTTACTTATATTATTTCATGTATAGCTATGTTATAGTGATCTTTAAAAATAACAATCCATTTATTTAAGTATTAAACATAACTAATTTTGAAAATAAATCTTAAACAATATTGTGATTTTCAAATAAGACCAAATTAATTTTGTCAATGTAATTTTGTATTAATAATTATTAATTAGTGTAATTTATCAGTGTAGTTTAAATTAGATATCATATCACATTTTTTTATAAAATTCATAATTATAATATTAAGAATATTCAAAATTAAATTTTTATATAATTATTCTAAAACGATGTTAGATTACGCACACTAAATTAAATTAGAAATAAAAATTGGATTTTTAACTTTTTAACTTTTTTAACTTTTGTTTGATTAATATTTATATGAGACTTTATGCATAATGTTATAACAATATACAAAATATATGTAGCTAATACAAAGATAATATTATATGCAACATTGCTATCATGATATAGCAGTAATAAATTAATAATTATTATATTGCAATCTCATTAATAAATAAATAATTCCACATATGCAATAACAATGCAAAAAGTTAAACATATAGATATTAAAAAATATTTGGTGTATTACTAAATAAATAAATATATTCTTTTATATATGAGTAATGTTACATAATATAATATGAAATAGAGTTATAATGCTAATGTATGAGAGAAAACATATTACTAGCTATAGAATGTCTTTATTTAAAGTTATATAGTACTAAAACTTTCTTTGTTTTTACATTTGAAAGAAAGAAATCAGATGTAAAGAAGTGATCAGATATAAAGAAGTCATCAAATATAAGGAAGCATCAAGCTATATTAGTACGGCGAATTAGATCTAAGATTAGATCCATTAAAAGGTTTGTTTTCTCCAGGCACACGGAATGTTCTTTCATACAAAACACGTAAGCATGTTCCTTACATATTAAATCTCCACAGATTATATTATATTTATGCTGATGTTAGAACTTGTGTCATGTCACCATATAAAAATATAATATCTATTATATTTTTATTTATATTTTTATTTATTTATATTTATACACAACATGGACGACAAAACTTTTTATTTATGCCATACAAGGAATATAATGGCTTCTCTTGCAAAAATGATAGAGTTTACCTCATAAATATATTAATACGATGAAATCGAAGTCTTCGTAATTTTAAAATAAAAATATATATATTGAATATCAGAGAAGAACAGTAATTTCTGAAAAAACGTATTATTTCGCAAAAGCATCAACGAGCAAGTGAGTCACCTTATATGTATAAATAAGTAACATTACCTAATATCTAGAATTAATTATTAATGTGTAAGAAAAAAACATGTTGCTACAGAATGTATTTATTTAATTAAGTTACATTATAATAATTAAGTTACATTATAACTAGAATAAAACTCTCTTTGTGTTTATATGAAAGAAAAAAAGTGTCAAATGTAAAAATATAAAGTCAGATATAAGGAAGCAATATCATATTAGTATAGTTTTAGTTTCCATGAGATGCACCTACATTCCCAGTTGAAATGCACCTGTGTTTCCGGGTTGAAATCTGCCTGCGTTTTCAGCCTGAAATCCGCCTGCATTTCCAGCCTGAGATCTGCTTGCGCTTCCAGCCTGAGATCTGCTTGCGCTTCCAGCCTGAAATCTGCCTGCGTTTCCAACCTGAGATCTGCTTGCGCTTCCAGCCTGAGATCTGCCTACATTTCCAGATTGAAATTCATCTGCGCTTCCGAGTTGAAATGCACCTGCGCTTCCAGCCTGAGAGCTGTCTGCGCTTCCGGACTGAAATGCACCTGCACTTCCAGCCTGAGATCTGCCTGCGCTTCCAGGATGAAATATGGTCCCATACGGACCATGTGGTTTCACGCAAACGTGGGCATGATTCACACATACCAAATCACCACAGCAATCATTATCTTGTCTACACTAAAAATATTTAAAAATATTGAAAGATATATTATTTAATATCAAAGATTAATATTAATTAATATTATGCGGATGCACATTTAAAATGATATTGTAATATATAAATTAATACGAATTATATAAAACAATTATATAAAACAACAATTATATAAAAACGCAAATTTGTAATTTCTTAATTCCAATTTCATTTTTTTTTATTTTTTTTATCGTTCTTATAATATGCAAAAAATTGTCTTTTGTATAATGCTATATATATAAATATGGTGGATATACGATGAATATACGATGGATATACTTACAGGATGACCGACAGAGTAACAACTTTGTTCAACTTGGTTACCAGCTTGGCAAGCAGTTATGATCGTAGCAATCAAAATGAAAATAAGGAATCTCATTTTATCAGTATGTTTTCTGTAATTAATAGATTTATTACGTAATATTTACGGCTTAATATGGCATATTTGGTATAACAGTGCTTGTGTAAAAGTCACAATAATAGTTTGACATGATATATGAGATGTATTAAATATATTATTTATGATAAAATTAATAATATAAATAATATAAATAATACTTTATTACTGATATATTATAAATAGTTTTATAAAAATAACTTATTGTTGATAAAGACTTTCAGTCTCTTTACTTAGAAAATTTGTTGAACTTACAGTTTTCCTTAGTAAGTTGATTGGACAGATTGTACGAAATGACCGTAACTTATTGAAGTTTGATTTCTGAAGAGTATTTATACTCTTTTTCTCTTCTCTTCTCTTCCTGTGTAAAACACTTGTGTAAATTCAAAATATCGGAAATATACCGCTTATGTCACATGATACATGAAAAAAAACATCTGTTTGGAAAGATTATTATAATGTTATATTCTTGCCCTTTAATTTGTTATTAATTATAAGCTTAAGTAATCCATATTACATTTCGTATTTTGCATTTTGTTGGCGTAAGGACCTTTTACAATATTTGATATATGTTTTATAGGATTAAATTACATAATTTAATAATCAAATTATAAAATGCAAATGTACAAATGTACAATTGTATTGTCACATAACCGTAAATATCTTATTATAAAATAACTTAAATAAATTGTATCAATTAAATAAAATTTTTTTTAAATATCTTATGAATACATTTAAAGTACCCTTAAGAAAGAATCGAGAAACTAATTATTATAATTTTAATTCTAGTTATTACACTTTCAAGGTATTACATATTCTTCTTAAAAAATGAAAAATTATTATTTTAAAATACAGTAATTTTTAATAATAAATTGTTTATAATAATAATTTAATATTTTCGATTCTAATGGAATATTACCGCTGGCTATTTGAGATAAGATAATTTATTGCTAAATGTTTTAACAAACACTACACTATGTATTCAGTTGCAAAAGCACTCAAGTAGAAACTAAAAAGGAAATTTATCTCGTAGCAAATTATAGTGACCATGTTATACGCTAAATTTTGAATAACGTGAATTTTTTATTATAAAAACAATTCAACAGTCATTAGATATTGTATGATTTTTTGTTTATTAATTACATCGGTTGACCATCACAGCTATTTATTTTATAATTCACAACGGAATATATACCTATGTTTAACATAAAAACATGAATACATTCTTATTCTCATAGATAAATATTATTATCAGAATAAAAATTATTTTTGCTGTTACAAATCAATCCGAATTTAATTAAAAAATTTTTAGTCATTAGGACATAAAAATATTTTGCTATTTCTAATGACTAAGCAAGCGTATATCTCCAATTAGTATAATTGATGTATTCTAATGTTTCTTTAAATTAAATTCAAGATAAGATCGTAGTTCGATGCAACGTAAGAGTGACGTCCAAGGCGAGATATTTTTGATTATTGTTGGGCTCCTCCCCATGGTGCTCCCGCGCCTCTTGGTCCTTCTATTCCCCATGGACCATCAGGTCCCATTCCCGGTCCTCCAGTGCATCTATTAGCCCATGGGTTACATACAAATGCACCGCAACATTCATCGTCAGATGCGCACTGAAAAAGATAGCACGAAATTGTGATATCTTGCACAATATCTTTCATATTACATGACATAATTATTTAATTCAACTGCACTTTCGTCACTTTTCATTCAATTTAGATTATCACATACTTATAAAATTATTTGCTGTAATTGGCATTTAAACTTTGTTATATTCATTATTTAAAATATTCAATACACAAAATATGATACACTTCTCATAATAATTGTACATTAATATCTTTCATTAATATTTTTCTTTATTTTACTTAATCGAGAATAAATCGAAATAAAAAGACGTAATATATAAAGAATATGTACTAGATTTTGGCACGCAAAGTGTATATTGAAATAACGATCGAGGAAATTAAACGTCATTATTTACATTTTTTTACACTAATTATACGATTTGACGCGAGACTTAATTTTTAATAACGTTTGGAAATTTTTGGAACTCATTAATTTAGCAATATCACTTTTGTTGTGTAAATTAACGTAGATCTTATTACCATTTCAAAAAATTAAATACATTAAGTTACATTAATTAATTTAATGTTTTTTACGAAACGCACGCATAAAAAGTAGAGTACAGTTAGAGTACAGTTTCAATTATGCAATGATACTTACCAGCATCCCGGGAGGGCTGCAGGCCATGACTAAAGTCATTGCCAGGAGCGCAAAGCAAAGGAGTACGATGAATTTTCCCATTTTTTGATTGATTGCTCGAGAGATACCTGTTTCTATAAAGTATATTAAAAATAATAAATAGGAAAATACTTTTTCACACACTAGAAGATAACAGAAGCTTTAGCTCTATCCTCACCTGTATCTAGCTCAATTCAAAGTGAACTCTTTCAAGAGATTGCTCAGCTTATATACGGAACCGGTATGAACATAGAAATATAGAACGGTAATCTCTTTAAATAGGTGGGCGTATAGTGCACCTTGACAATTTTTATGAGTCCACGCCGTTTATTCTTGTCACTGATATTACTATCGTTTATCTGGTTTCATCGATTACGCAAATATCATGAGAATCATAGAAGTAAACATATTACGTAAGGATCTATATGCTCACGGATTTCTAGCGGAGCCTCGGAAAAATTATAAACCCCCCGCAAAACAATATCGCGATAACGAAAGCCTTTCCTCGTGGGCCACGATAGCATCGCGCGGTGCAATCGCGTCATTCTTTATTTATTCGTTTATTCGATATCGTGACAACTCTACCCGCAAACGTATTCACTGCCCAATGAAAATATCACTGATATCGCGAGAGATGGATTTCAACAGCTGTAAAATGTATAAGATTTATTTCTGTTAATTTTAATATAGTCATAATATTGAAATATCATTCGCGCAATAAATTAACAAATACCCTTCTGCAATAACTTTGTTTGCTAATAATAATAACGCTTTTAACGAAATTTTAATCAAAATGCTCGAATTAAATTGCGCAATGTAATGCGTGGGTGAATCATCTCTTTGTATCTTTCCAATTCTTCTTGCTTTTTTGCAAAGGTAAAGGCCTTCTCCGATGCTATCATTCCTAATTTCATCGTCAAAACAGGAAGATATATTTTATGTTTATCCCTATGCAAAGCATGATAAGATGAGTAAATTGCGAACAATCATCACGAATCACAAATTAATCAAAATTTAGTACACAACTATATTAAGATAACGAAAGTAAATAAACACGTACAAAAAAAAAATGCCAATAATTGAATAGCAGCAATGTCATGAAATATTAAATTCTTCTTATTTCCGTTAAAACAAAGTTTTATTAGTGACATATTGAACGACATGATATCTCAAATGTTGTTACATTTTTCGTTCAGTGAGGATTGCTATAAATTTTTAAATGCCTAAATTTTTAAATATAGTTACTTATTACAATATATGTCTATACACAATACATTTGTATTAAAAATACATATTTAGTATTATATTATCGTATCATATATGATGATGTCTGTTATTAATTGTAAGTGTAGGTAATTTAGGAGCAGATTTTTCGAAAATCCTTAATAAGAATCGTTATTTTGACGTGTCTGACAAATCAAAATGGATCTAGCATTAATAATACGGCTTGCAACCCCTGATAACATTATTTCGTTTTCGCATTCCTCACTATAATGTATCCGCGCAAAGTTATTATTTCGACATTTGGCCTCAATTTTGCGTATGATTTAGCAAAATATAATCACGTTTTGTCAACAGTGTCGTCGTGCCGCGGCCGTCACGGCGCGCAGGGCAGTTTGCACATTCCCGACTTTTTATTGTCCGAAAGTGTCACGATTTGATGTTAGTTGTAATCGTCCATTACGTTTTTCACTCGCTGTCGGCGATAATTGGCGGCACCATTGGTGTAATATTTCCGAACACCCGTCGTGTAACGCGCTCACGTGTCATTCGGCCTATCAAAACCGTTCTCCAAATTGATTCGGTTGTCGTTCCTCCCTGTAGAAGAAACCTCTTTGCATTTTAGGAAATTCATTTCGGAAGTGTCCATCGTGATAATTTATCACATTTCTTTCCTCGTAAGCCGTTTATTAAATATTCACCTAGAATTTAGAAATCAATTCGAAATAGACGAAATCTTTATTCTAATCAATCTAGGAATGTAACGTATATAATTATCATTATCTTTACTTTAATCATGTTTTTTATCATGTTTTTTATCATGTTTTTTAAATGTATATGTACAAAAGTATAACGTTTTATTTTGAGAGAAAGAGAGAGAGAAAAAAATTTGTTTTATTTATCAGTTTATTATAGAAAATTAAAATATAAGAAATGAATATTTTTTTTATTATTGTTTATTTTTTCTATATACACACACACACATATGACTATTTACTATTAATATATTCAAAAGAAATGTAAAATGTTAGACAATTTTAATTTTAACTTTCTCTACGAAAAGCTATTTTGATTTTAACTTTTCCGTATAAATTCTCGTAAATTTCAAGTATTTTCATCTAGCTAAATTAACGGTATCAATAGTACATGCATATTATAATGAATTATGTAATTTGTATAATTTGTACATATAGTATTAATTACATGCATTAATAACAAACAACCGATGCAGTGTACAGCCAAAAATATGTAAACGCCTAATTCCCACTGTCACTCAATCTCCGACCAAACCCCCCGTAGCTATCATATATAATATTTTCTCTCTACGCGCAAAGTTCGCTTAATTGAGTGCGCCATTATCTGTAATTTAATGCAATGTAAACGATTAAAACGTTTATCAAATTCGGTCTTGATTCTGGACTAACTGATGAGTGGTGAATCATTTCATTATGACGATAATTGTGCAATTATTATGGAGCCAGATGTAGCCGAGCGAAGATAATAAAAATCGGGAAAAAGATTCCGGTATTACGTGTTATGATGGCAAAACATCAAGTGGGAATCCTGATAGGATGGGAAATCCTAGAATGAGGACGGCAAACGTCGTGTTTTTCCACGTGAAATGCATTTGACGATGTCTGCGTCTCACGATGGAATTGCTTGAAAATGCGGGGTTATCGCGAGACGAGGTTCAAGCATTCACAATTATCGATGTCACATTGTCGCAACGTAACCGCATGTGTCACGCTATCGTCAGAGTGACGTGAATCACATTCAAGAACCAGGAGCTCTTTCGAAGAAACAACAGCGTTATCTTTTCTTGATATATTTCAACGAATTCTCCTTTGTTAACCATTCGTTATTATTTGCGAGTTTTATGACTGTTCTGAAATACCCTATTCTTCAATCATGCTCAGAAAATTTGACTATTCACATTACTTACAACTTGCAATTTTTCTAAAATAAGCCATTCTTTAATTGCGTGTACAAAAAAATTATTAGATATTGCTTTTTAATTGCCTATTAGATGTATTTTATATTAATTGGATTGATTTCTACAATCTTTTAAAAATTGAGAAATTTTTACGCGGTATTAAGTCAGCATATTTCTGTTATGATTTCTAAGTCAGCTCTTAAGATAGAAGATGATAGATCATAATAGAATTGTCATGTTTTAGACGTGGTAAATGAATTGCTTTCGCTTTCAGGCTGATGTCTGAATTAGTCTTGCGTGCAGAGAGTGTATACATTTGTATCCCTTTCCTTAACACAGTGCAACATCTACACGCACTTCCGACTTACACTTCCGAGCTAACCACTCCTTTCCGTTACACGCGACGGCTCAACCCCTAAGAAACCATTAAACTCGTTATGAAATTACCGTAAATGTCACAGATAAAAATAAGTTACCAATTGTATTTAGTAGTTGAAAATTAATTCCTAAATAAAACAGAAAATTATTTGAATTTTATTTTAATATAACAGAAAATTATTTGAATATTGTTTTAAAATCGCAATAAAAGATTATATGTTTATATTTTAAATAACATCAAAAAATATGAAAGAGTAGGGAATACGAAGATAAATTTTGTATCTTAATACCATATGAGAATTTTTGCCGACAAAAAAATAAATCAAATATATTGGCAATTATTTATTAATCATTCAGATCAGAATTTTAATTATTAATTATATATTAGTATTAGTGCTATACAACAAATAATTATGTAACATTTCTATTTTTCACACATTATTTTAAAGTTTTAATTATTCTACAATTAAATCAATAATTTACTTGAGCTACAAATAAAGATGCAACAGAGGTTTTAGATGCAGTGCAGTTGTTACGCAATTACATCAATTCGTATACGAACAAAACGATATTTTTATTAATCTAGACCTGTCAAATTATAAAACCTTTAAAAACAAAATATTTATAAACATCAGTTGATAAATATCTATTTGATTTTACGTATTTCTATGCAACTGTGTACTATTATTTGTCAAAATTGAATTAAAAGTGCGGTTATGAGAAACTTTTAAGTGAAAAGCTAATGTCAATAAGAGGTATAAGCGATGTTCAATAAGTAAATGCCATTATCTATCTCTCACGATACCAAAATAATTGAACTATTACTAAAAGTTTCCAATAACAACTTTTGTTTTGAGTGTATCATTCATCCCGAAATAGAAGTCAAATATTTTCGTATTATCGAGACTATCGATTAATTCGTTATCAGCTAAGACCTGGAGGAAAAACACCTGAACATTAATCTAAGAAATGAGAAAACTTGCATCTGCTCATTAAATAATTGATTTATGCAATGGAGGAAGTATCTTCGTCCCCTCCCCCTCCTCTCTCTCTCTCTCTCTCTCTTCTCTCTCTCGAGGACGTGGACGAGGTTTCGTCTCGATAAAGTGTCACTTAAGCAATAAATCTTCGCCACTAACGTCGTCGTCCCATCTTTCGTGGTTTTGCTCTGTAGGATCTATCGCTCCCTTAGTTAGCGGACTCGGCCTTCCCGTTTCGTCTCGCTCGCGTTCTTCGGCGTAAACGTTGCTCGGCGTTGCCTCCGTCCTTCTTCCACCGCTGGTCGAAACTGAGCGGAGTCTCTCTAGGCTGAAGTGCCGGACAATTTGATAATTGGATCTGCGGCAGTGCTGTGATTTACGCACAGGAGGGTCCACGCTGACCGTCCAAGAGGCCGCCGCCACGCGGAACCGCGCTCCGGAAGCAAAGTGGAGGCGATTTCGACAGATAGATAGATAGAGACGAGGATAAAGAGGAACGGAGAGAAGAGAGAGAGAGAGAGAGAGAGAGAGACAGATGCGTCTTCTCGCGAATTAGCTAAAACTACGTCTCTCTACTATGGCTAGACGTTGTTTTACGACATTCCCCAATTCTCGTTACAACGCGAATGTTATTCCGCGCGATGCACGCGTAATCGATATAGTACGCTATCGTGTCGACTAATCGACTATGCACCTCACATAGATCGCTCGTTCGCGCGACGGTATTGAAATGCGTGCTTGTCAATCGATAAAGCGTCTATTT